CACCAACAAGGTTCTCAACAAGCAGAGTTGTTGAGAGAACAAGGTGCCTCAACAGTTTGAACTGTTGAGACAGCAGCAGGCTGCTGCTGGCGGGTCGATGCACTCGCGTCGGCCCGAGACTTTGAAGATTGACATCTCAAAGTATAGAGGGGTCGAAGAAGACTCCCTCTTGAGATGGTTCGTCGAATTGGATGACGCCATAAGGGCGCGTCGCATCGACGACGGGGATATGCAAGTTGCATTTGCCCAGTCAAATCTGGCAGGACGTGCCAAGACTTGGGCACTGGGGCTCAAGCTGCACGACCCATATGCGTTTGGGTCGTTGGAAGTCTTCAAGTCGCGGCTCAGACAAACGTTTGAACCGCCTAGAGCTGAGTTCAGAGCTCGAACCGAACTCTTGAAGCTCAAGCAGGGTAAGCGTGATGTGCACGCTTACGCTCAACATATACGACATCTCACGAGTTGTATAAGTTCCAATCCGGTGGATGAACACACGTTGGTTTCGGTGTTCATGCAGGGTCTTGCGGATGGTCCCGTCAAGACTCACCTGTTCCGGCTTGAACTAGATTCACTAGAACAAGCCATTTCAATTGCGGAGCAGGAAGACTTCAGTCTGAGACAGGCTCGCGCCAGCTCGACATCATATCGTCAACCGAGACGATATGACAACGGAGGTCCAGAGCCGATGGAACTCTGTTATGTAGAGAGCGAGAAGGCTCGCCTCTACAGGCTACAAGAAGTTGCAGAGATGCAACAGATGTCAAAAGACAGGACACTACGCTTACGAGTGTAGTGCCCTCGTCCAGTGTCTCGCGACACTGGGCGTAGTGACCGTCCACCCATGAGAAAGGGGCAGGGACGAGGGTCCGCAGTTGGTGCAAAAGACGCAACAACGGGATGGACCGTCAAAAAACGGACAGGATCAGTAGGTGCGGAGCACCCTACTGATCCAGCAACGTCAAGAGAATTTGTAGGCCTCTTGATGAAGGTTGCTCCCAACTACACAGACATTGTGCGTTGCTGCTCTAGGTAATGAGATCTCACTCATTACTTGAAACTCGAAGTGACGAATAAGTTGTCCCTTCGAGCTCTAGTCGATTGTGGGGCGTCCAACAATTTTGTGCGACGCCAATCGCTAGAAGATGGTCACTTTAAATTCAGTGAATGTGACACACCTCCTACGAGGATGACGGTACGTCTTGCGACAGGCGCATCCGTAACCGTCATGAAGCGTATAGTGAAGATTCACTATACGCTAGAAGATACCCAATACGACGATGACTTTATCGTATTGGATTTGGATGACAAATTTGATGTCATCCTTGGAATACCGTGGCTCAGAAGGTACGAACCACGAGTAAACTGGCAACATCGAACAGTAACGATGCCTGCCGCTTGTTCATCAGATGGCCATCTGATGAACGTTTTGGAGCGTCCACAAGCGTGTGGATGTACTACGAGTGAGTGCGATGGCCTCACTTGTGGTACGGTCGTTAGTACGACTGCACAAAACCTTAGTGTACCAAACGGTTACACTTCGGAGCAAAGTTCCGGCGGCTGTGAGGAAACACAGGCTGCGCCGAAGGTCCACCACTCGAATAAGTCGGGTGGACTGGGACAAAGATGTATCCCTAGAGGGGAACATCTAGAAGAGAAACAATCGATCGCTCAGGTTAAGCGAAACGATAATCCTAGATCGAATGGAGAGTCTTTCGTAGAGGATCTCGCTGTGGTTGCGCAACCCCAGCTAGAGGAAGTAAGGAAATAAGTCCCAAGATTACAAATACGGCGGAAATAAGTTCCCCGAAACCCGCGGGAATAAGTCCCCGGGAAGACGAAGGAATAAGTCCTTCGAAGCCTGAGGGAATAAGTCCCCAGGAAATGACAGAGACATTGAATGTCATAGTCAATAACGGATCATGTGTAGGCGCTTATACACTTGATCTGATTGCGCCTCCGAAGTTAACTTCGGAGATCACTCAGTTGCCAACGCTCGAACATAAAAGATTCTTGCGTGATCTGCGTAGTGGCAAAGTCAAGCAGATCTGCATACTCGTCGCTGAAGACGAGTATGTAACCGACATAAGGTCAGCAACAGTGTTTACTGAGAACGAGAGAGTTCTCAGTAGTTCATCTATGGACGAGAGTGCCCTAGATGAAAAGACACGAATTGAGCGATATGAGTCCCAATCATGGGAATCGCTCAAGGAAAATCCTCTCTATGAAGATTTGGTTGAATTCAAGGATGTATTCCCTGAAACTGTTCCGTGCGAATTACCGAAGGATAAAGGTATTCGACACGAAGTCGAGCGCAAACCAGGCTCGAAGTACTGTGTCATGAAGCAGTGGCCACTGCCTCGTGAACAAGTACTTGCGATCGACAAGTTCTTTGCCGATCGTTTAGCAGCGGGCCATGTGAGGGAATCAACTTCCCCACATAGCTCTCCGACCTTCTGTGTGCGAAAAGCAACAGGAGGGTGGCGGATAGTGCACGCGTTTAACAAATTGAACGCTGCAACGGTACCGGCTCAGACGCCGATACCGAGGAAGGACGTAATCATTGATGGTATGTCAAAGAGTACCATCTTTTCGTCCATGGATTTGATGGATGGCTTCTATCAAATCCTAATGCGGGAACAGGATATACCCTATACCGCAGTTAGCACGCCTAGCGGCATGCTCTGGGAATGGCTAGTAATGCCACAAGGGCTCAGTAATGCCCCTGCCACGTTCAACAGATGTGTATCACATCTGTTGAGACCAGTACGAGAGTTCGCGCCGAGTTATTTCGATGACGTATTCATCCATAGTCGAGCTATGGATGGAAAGTCGGACGTTGAGGTTCACAAGTACCACGTCCGACAAGTTCTTACAATCATGCGAAAGCATCAATTGTATGCAAACCTCAAGAAGTGTATATTTGCAGCAAGCGAAATACCACTTCTTGGGTGCATCGTTGGTAAGAACGGTGTACGTCCTGATCCCGAAAAGATCAAGGCGATCACCGACTGGCCCGTGCCGGTCGATGTCAAAGGTCTTCGAAAATTCCTTGGGCTAGCGGCGTATTTGCATAAGTATTCACGCAATTACGCCGAGATGACTGTACACCTCTCTCGTTTGTTGAAAAAGAACGAGAGGTGGTTATGGAACGCTGAATGTCAACGCTCCTTTGAGGGTATCAAGCAGAGCTTGATACAATCCCCAGTCCTAGCAATTGCCGATCCGGACAGGCCATTTCATGTGGTCTGTGATGCCAGCGATTTCGCAATCGGCTGTGCATTAATGCAGTACGATCTTGAAGGCGTTGAACGCGTCGTCTGCTATCAGTCGCGTCAGCTGCAACCAGCTGAGCGGAACTATCCAGTGCATGACAAGGAACTCCTTGCCATGAAGTATGCACCCGCGAAGTTCATAGTCTATCTATTAGGAGATAGACCCTTCATTGTTTACACTGACCATGCGTCCTTACGCACGGCAGTGAACAGCCCGCACCTTTCACAACGAATGGCGCGGTGGTTGTCATTCTTTGCAGAATACAACTTTACGGTCGAGTACAAACCAGGACGACTTAATGTCGTCGCTGATGCACTCTCACGTCGTCCCGACTTTGAAACAGTCGCGAAACCCAACAGTGAGACAGTCACTGTTGCGGTTATGACGTCCTCAGTCCCATCTACAATGTTGTATGATGATGTGAGGCGGGCATACGCCCAAGATGGTGAGATAGTGAAGTTGTTGTCACATCTCTCCCAACCATCTCGAGAATCGTTGAAACGATTGTCGTCTGCGTATCGATCTGCATCAGATCGATACACTACTCATAACGGTTTACTGTACTATACAGCCGTTTCTGGTGACACACCACGTGTTGTCATTCCAGATGATACTGATCTGCGTTTGCGGATCATGTTCGAGTATCACGATGCTCCTATAGGAGGACATCGTGGCCGAGAGAAAACATATCTCACGGTAAGTCGAGACTTTTACTGGCCCCGCCAGTATCAGTTTGTGCGAAAGTATGTTCGCGCATGCGAAGTCTGCCAACGAGTGAAGTCAAGTCCTTCACTGCGTGCACCTTTACAGCCTCTACCGGTTCCGGCTGAGTGCTGGGAATCCATCTCAATGGATTTCGTCTTCAGGTTACCCAAAGACGCACGCGGGAATACGGGTATTCTCGTATTTGTTGACAGATTCAGCAAAATGGTACACCTTGTGGCTGTACCAGAGACAATCACGGCAAGTGGCTGTGCTTGTGTCTTTATTGACACCATCTTCCGACTTCATGGGTTGCCCCGTGAACTCGTATCAGACAGAGATCCACGATTCACTGCTGATTTCTGGCGTTCCGTGTTCAAATCACTCGGAACGCGCTTGAAGATGTCAACATCTGATCATCCAGAGTCGGATGGTCAGACGGAACGTGCCAATCGTGTCCTTGAAGAGATACTTCGAGGATACGTACACTCCTTTAAGAGTTGGAGTGAGTTTTTGCCAATGGTAGAGTTTGCCATCAACAACTCGGTGCATGCGTCCACGACACATACACCGTTTTACGTGAATGGCTTGCGCCATCCGCGTGTACCCACCTTACTAGAGTGTGACTCTGGTTTAAGGGGGGGAGGGACTCGCGCGAGCAAAAACCGATTTGGTTCACGCTCATCACGCTCTGACGAAGAAGTCATTGCGTTTGATGCCGATATCGATAACATCGATATCGAAGAAGATGATGCCAGTGAGAGTGCGGAAGCCCTCACTGAAGACAATGATCCCAGTGAGAGTGCGGAAGCCCTCACTGAAGAAAAGGTTGTTGTTGCTGCAGTGCGCTCACAGCACACTGAAGCTAACGAGGTCATCAGATGAGTTCATACTGGCTCGTGAAACGGTAGTCCGTTTTGTGCAAGACTCCATCGCCGAAGCGGTGGATAAGCAAAAAGCAAAACGCTGACAAGAATGGAAGGGCAAACACTCTTTTATTTAATAAAGGTGACTTAGTCCTACTGTCTACGGTTAATCTACCAAAACATGTAGTGACTAACTTGGGTAGCAGTAAACTACTACCCAAGTACATCGGCCCATTTCGTGTATTGCACCGCCTAGGCAATGCATACACGATCGAGTTACCACGTAAGATGCGAACGCATCCCACGTTTTACGTTGGTCGGCTTAAGCCGTACCATCAGTACGCTGCTTCTTCCGATGAAGAACGCCCTTGCGCTCAAGCATCTCGCAGAGAGCCTTGTGCTCCCGATGGTGGGAATCAGCAAGGGTCTGAAGAGCAGCTATCTCAGCCCGAGACCGATCAACAATCCCACGAGCTACCCTTAGCTCGTCACGAAGAGATGTCAGAGATCTCTCGTTCTCAAGCTGAGCAAAGGCAAACTCAGCTCGATGCTTCGAGGCAGTGTCCACCATCTGGAGACGCCTATTCCGCTCATGCTCGAGATCGTCGCGTAACCCTTGCGTTACGCGATCAAAGAAGCTCTCGGGAACACACCGATCCACATGATCGTGTGGAGAGCGTCTTTTCTCCTCCTCCACCTCCATTAGAGGACTCTCGCGGTGGCCAGCGCTATCTAGTAGAGCAGCTGTTGAACCACCGCGACGTGAACGGACGTCGGACGAGTTACCTCGTCCGGTGGCGCGGCTATCCCCCGTCCTGGGATTCTTGGGAGCCCCGCTCCCAATTGATGGTTGACGTACTGGGTCTGGTCGAGCAGTACGACGCGACACATCCTGTGCCGCAGAAGGACCGCCGGAGAAAGTCTTCCCGGCACGGTCGTAAAGGGATTTCAGGTTGTCAATCCCTTCGTACATCTCAGTAGAGACACGTACGCGCCACCACGGGCTGGTAAGGAGGTAAGCCTCCTTAGGTGCTCGTGCAGAGTTGTTCACACAACATGGGCACGAGTCTCCCCAAGAGAGGCAGGGTAATCCTTTCTCCCTTGACAGACGATGCAGCTTGTAGCGTGCACCTGTCGGGGTTCGCTTTTCAAACTTATCACGAGCTTTGATAAGTTTGTCGTTCCAAGCGTCACGACCTACATCCTCGAGATTATGGATGTAGGCGTTCCACGCCTGAAGTAGTGAGGGACCATCACGTTTGTGATTCCCACTGTACCATCGATGTCTGAAGAAAGCATCGATGAAGAACTCATGTTCAGCGCGATAGTCTTTCGCGCTGGGGTCAAGGTGATGGATCCTTGACGAATCGAACAATCGTGTTCGATAACGATCACTCGTCGTCGCCGACAAGTGATCCATGACGGATTTAGGAGGCATCCATGCCTTCTTTTCTGGAGCGAGACGCAACACATTGCGGTCCCGCTCTTCCTGCGACGTGCCGACAGAAGTACTGGCACCTCGCTGTGAAGTGGTGTCCATAGGAGAACCGACACCACTATTAGCGCCCGAGTCTCGCGACCTCGAGCGCCTTCGCTTCGGCGATGGTTCATCTGACTCATCAGATGAACCAAAGATGCTGCGACGCAAAGCATCGTCCATGCCACGCTTGGCAGGCGGCTTGGATTCAATTGCCGTCGATACGGATCCGTCATCCGTATCAGGAGAGTACGAGACACCGAGCTCGTACTCTGTGAAGACACGAGTGTCTTCATGACCAGCGCCTGCATCACCAGGTGATACAGGCTGAGTCGATTCAGCAACCGATGGGACATCAGTTGCTGTAGTTTCTGCTTCGGCGTCCGCACAGAGACGTGCAGACGCGCTCTCGGCGGCCTTGCTCGCGCATCGCATGGGCTTGTTTACCATGCGATGAGATGTTGGAAAGTGGACGCGGACCAACAAGTGCAAACCCCGTCCCAAATGATTTGGGACGAGTATCCATTTAGTCAATCAGTCACTAAGGTGACTGATGGTTAAGGGGGTGATGTAACGGGGTGAATCGTTACATAACAATTTATAAGAAATTGTTAATAGAATATAACTATAAGAGTTATATTCTCAGAATATTGTCATAAGGACAATATTCGGTAGCACTTCAAGTAGTTCCTAATTGGTTGATATAGGCCATTATATCAACCAACGAAGACGCGCCACGACAGACGCACGCAATGAGTGGTGAGCAGATAACTGATTTACACATTTGTATTTAGACATAGTTAGATGAAGATAAATAGGGATTTATTGCAGACATTAACTATTATAAATACAGTTCTACTTTTTACTCTAACCAAGTACTCGCTTCTTCTTACCGTCTTCCTCTGCACGTACGAGTGTACGTGAAGTTACGAGGCACCGCCTTATTCTGTTATCAGAATAAGTAGCTTGTACTGTCACCAGTACAAGCTTCAGGGTGCCCCGTTACAAGATGGAAGTACAAAGCTTTCCAGTAAAACGTGGATCACGGTCCGAGACAATTTCTACAGGCGAACCGTGTTAACGACACACACGTTCGATAAACAGCTTTGCTGTATCTTCACCATCGACAGAATCAGGCACAGTCGCTGAATGATCCATCTTGCTTAAACGGTCAGCAAAGACCACAATACCAGTTTTGCCGTCCAAATCCTTCGGTAGGCCAAACACAAAGCCCATTTTGATGACTCTTAACTCTTAGTGGGTGCAGGCAAACAAATAAGCGGTGTAACTGCATATTCTGAGGGTTTGACCTCACGACACGTTTCACATGTATAAGTGTGTGTACTCACCCATTCGTACAACCTGGGCCACCAATACGTCCGGTTAACTGAGCTGTAGGTCTTCAGACGACCGAGATGACCGCTCAAAGCAGTGTCATGTGCTTAAAAAAGGATATGATACTTCGAGTCATCATCACGAGGAACAAGGGTGCGAAGCACATCCTCAACACCCGTGCAATAGCACAACAACCCACCGTCGGTGACATATCGATGTAGGCTCGCACGTAAACGTGCCGACAATTTGATGTCCGAGTCTTGAAACCCCTCGCTTACAAGAGAGTGCAGTAATGCTACACGTTTCTCACCACGTGCATGTACCGCACGAATTTAATCCACAATGGATGGCGACAGAGTCGTAACGTGAACAAACTCATAATCAGGTCTGCGTGACAACACACCAGCCAAAGCGATTAGCTTTCCCGGCTTATAATTCACCTCGAATTTGTTTTCACCAAATAACGAGAGCCAGCGGGCCACATACTGTGAGAGGTAAGGCGAATGTGGCGCAGTGCGTAACGACTCATGATCGGTGACAATCACAAAAGGCTTTGAGCCAAGTAGGTGGACTCTGAACTTAACAAGGTCATATTTCGTTGAGCGTAACGCTTTGTCATGAACTGGATAGCTCTTCTCTGCAGCCTTTAGCTGGCGAGATTACTACGCAATGACGCACTTATGTCCGTCTACATCTCTCTGCAGTAATGCACAGCCATTAGCAAATCAGACGCGTTACAGACGACACTGAAAGTCCACTCAGGGTTGGGCCAAGCCACAATTGGAGCATGAAGTAGAGTGTTCTTTATAGCTTCAAAAGCGTATGTACTGATTCTTAACAGCATACTGCATACTTCTTGAGGAGTTTGACTAATGTCCTTGTCATGCCAGCTTAGTTTGCACTGTACTTGTGCAAGTAATGAACAAAGCCGATCCATTTACAAAAGTTCTTTTGGTCCGAGGAAACAGAGTCAAAAATTGAATTTAACTTGGCAAGATCCGCTCGAACTCCACGCTTTCCAATAAAGCACGCGGGAAAGGAAATTTATTCAGCACCAAGAGTGCATTTTGATGGATTTGCATACAGCGTGTTCGTGTGCGTGCACTCGAGCACTGCTCGTAAATGGTCAATGCGATTCTCCACATCTGATCTGCCATGATCTGCACGGATGCGGACACAGATTCCATCGAAATAGCTTTGTGCATATCCTCTATGAGGGCGGAACAATTGCGTCACAAGACGATTGAATGTAGCCGGGGCATTAGTCATCCCTTGAGGTATGACAAGCCACTCCTCTAGAAAACCGATTGGAGTACTAACTTCTGTGAACGGAATATTACTCGCTCACTTAAGAATTTGATAATTAACATCGACCAAGTCGAGTGCACTGAACATGGTACAACCTACCGTAGCGCTCTGAAGAAAATCCTTTCTAGAGATAGGTGTATGTGCCGGTATAGTGGCTGCGTTAAGATTATTGTAAGCATGCACAATCCGCCACTTGCCATTTAACTACCTGACACAAAATGGCGGTGTCGAGTGCGGAGACTTGCTCCCACGCACTATGCCAGCCACGTGCTTTGCACGAAATAACTCGTCAATGAAGTCACACTGCTCCTTTGGTAGGGGCCACCGCGGTGTCACACAGTATTTGGTCGAGGAACAGGTCGATTTAATAACTTACGCCTCGATGAGAAGGCAGAGTGGAAGGTGGATCGTGACACACCCCATCCTGAAACTCCTTAATCAAATAATAACAAGGGTCTTTATGATCTTCCAAGATCGATGACCCACTTCGATCCTTCAGTGCCGTTTTTGCGTCTTCTAAGATAGCCTCGTCAAGAAGTGACGACGGGTTCAACTCACTTTCGGATCCAATGACCACCATTTCATACAAGTCACCTGACCTTAAGGTCAGGCCACACTCACCGAAAGACTTTCGTCTGGCTCAAACAGAGTATTAAGTGAGGGTAGATTCTCAAGACTCACTGATCCATCAACGTCACCAGTCACTCCGTTAACGTGTGTATATACTTGCTCACTAGTATCACTCAGTGACGTAACAGACGCCTTGCGCTGCACAAAAGCAATCTGGCTTTGATCGTCTCTGTGATGAGACTGAATGTCTCAAAGAGACTGAACCTTTCTCGTTCCCAAGGTTTAGAGCATCATCATCATCCTTTAATTGCTCTATGCAAGAGCCGGTGTCATTACCGACACACGGCACACCAATGTCTCCAAGATTAACATGTACGTCAAGCTTAAGTTGATCATTACCAGAGCCGAGTTCATTACCGACACAAGGGACATTAATGCCCCCAAGATTGTCATGACCGTCAATCTTAAAAATACCCAATACCAGGGTCGATTTCATTAACAACATCTGGGACTATACTTTCTTCAGGGTGATGAATTGCGTCAACCTTGATTTGATATATGTCAGATCCGATGTCAATAACGACATCTAATGATGAATCAATTCCAGTAAGATCACCATCCAGTAGGTACTTATGTGCCACTCCACACTCATAAAACGGAAGTTGCCTTTGATGAATTGGTATTTTACCAACAACGTCTTGACTGACATTCAGTGCGTCGCAATCACGGCCAAAATCACTCAGTGGGTACTTATGTGCCACCCCACGCTCACCAGATGGGTTCAACCCATGATGACTTTGATCTAGGCCAATTTAGCATTCAGTAATTCGAAATCACAACGATTATTACTCGACGGAGTGCGTTCCGTATCACTAACACTCATTGACATTGGATCGTAACTGATGTTTTTGACATCATTCAACTCAACAAGTTCAGTCATACCGATTTCCAGCACACTGACTGTTTCACTTTGTGGCTCGCGCCAATAGCGTTTCTGTATCCTAGCAGAATTGGGCTCATGACTCTCCAAAGCTCGAATAGGAACCGTGTGCGTTGCGCCTAAGTTTTTTGACCTCCAATCAATCCAAGGCCCATGGCATTCTAGCCAAGCCATGCCAAGGATAAGATCATACCTCTCATCCAAGTCAAAGAATAGACAGCGTTCAATACTGTCAAAGTCCGAAAACTTCACGCCTGAGTTCACAGGAACTTTTAGCACAGATACTAATGCACCTTTCGCTAAGCTAACAGTGATAGTCTCATTCTTTCGCAATTTTAGCGCCTCAGCATACTGTCGACTATATTTCAGGGAACAACGTCGGAATTAATTTCCCAACGCCCCGGAGTCGATCAACATCGACCATGGCTTATCAAAGCCCTTCGCTTTTGCTTTTGCAGCTGACAATCCTGGCTTGTACGCATGCTTCGTGACATTGTGCTCGAAGTCACTTAGGACGAGGCCTTATTTTTCATCACCTACCGAGACGTACCACAGAGCCTAAATCCCCTCCAGCAGGGCAATCCGCGTCTACTGGGACTCGACGTTTTCCCGCGCCTTGCAGACTAGTTAGTTAGCAACGAGAGGTCGGCTCGAGTGAGCCTGTATAGTCCTTCTCAAAGAACAATTGGGGCGAAGATGTTGATTCTTCCGAAAGTAAAACATCTACGGATGTTCAAACGCTGTTTGACAGCGTAGAGCTGAGCTTCTTCGTCTCTATCAACGAGAATAAGGTCCATGGGATCTGCCCTATCCATGAGATGAAACTCGCTCGACGAGTTCGCTTAAAACCCATGAATCCCACACCGTGCAGATTTAAAATTAAATTTGGCGTTCAATGCGATGCTCGCTGCACCTTCAAATGTCAACGGTTGTGAACGAAACACTTCTGTTCTGGCAACGCCAGTGCAAAGATCCTCCACAAAAATGGTTACCAAAACTGTCTCAGGTACAGGGCCACGTTAATTAGTAGCAATTAGAGTTCGCAGCTCTTGAACATAATCGACTAACTCCTAATTACCTTGGGCGGGTTGACAGGAAACGTGATCGCACACGATATGCCTGAATAGGCGGAGCAAACACCCGGTATAGCTGCTTTTGCCAGGTGAGAAAAGCCTCTTCTACCAGAGGTGCCAAAAGTGAACGCCCACTTCCTGGCTCGCCCACCTAACTTTGATAGGACCAGGCCCATTTTTGCTGCTTTGACCGTAGCAAGGACGAGATGATGGCAACCTCCATCTCTCAAACCCACAAAAGGAGATTTTCTCCCTCTTTCCACTCAAAAGTCTTGACACTCAAGACTAGAGGACGATTCCTTGACTCAGCGTCCGGTATTGGAACATACCGAGTGGGCATGGCAGACGTTAAATGGTCATGGACCTGTCAGATCAACCAACCTGCACTCAAAGTTCGAAAAAGCCTCGGGACGTGCACGAAGAGCGTCCGGGCCTTGAAACGCTATTAGATCCACTCGATCGTGCCCGACTAACGCCGTGAGCTTCTCAAGCGTGACATGCTGGGCCTCAGAGAGGTTCATGATCGTCTCCATACTCGCAGAGGATCCAGTCTGTGCAGACTTAGATATAGATTTACTACAAGCATACCAAGTGTACCAAAGATACTTAGCGCTCCTTAGCAGAGGAAGTCTTCAGATCAAAGAGTTTTTTCATTAGAAACAATCTGACAACGACGTACAGTCGTTTGAGCGTACAAGCTTAACAATCCCGGTTCCAAAAGGAATTACGATTCACAGAATCACACACTAACTAGTCACTACTAGTTAAACAAGAGTAAACGCCTCCACAAGGCTAACACTCTTACAACACGCTACGCCTTGGCTAGCCACTATCATCCAACGATTCAAATGGGGAACCGAACTTTACTTATTCTTTAACTACGGCAATTGTAACGGGGTGAATCGTTACATAACAATTTATAAGAAATTGTTAATAGAATATAACTATAAGAGTTATATTCTCAGAATATTGTCATAAGGACAATATCCTGTAGCACTTCCAAGTAGTTCCTAATTGGTTGATATAGGCCATTATATCAACCAACGAAGACGCGCCACGACAGACGCACGCAATGAGTGGTGAGCAGATAACTGATTTACACATTTGTATTTAGACATAGTTAGATGAAGATAAATAGTGATTTATTGCAGACATTAACTATTATAAATACAGTTCTACTTTTTACTCTAACCGAGTACTCGCTTCTTCTTACCGTCTTCCTCTGCACGTACGAGTGTACGTGAAGTTACGAGGCACCGCCTTATTCTGTTATCAGAATAAGTAGCTTGTACTGTCACCAGTACAAGCTTCAGGGTGCCCCGTTACACCTGGTAGCACTTCGTAGTCCGTCCAAGGACCGAGCTCACATCCAACATGAATATGTTGGATGATGAAGATGACCAAAGCTTTCACGCTACGCGTGACGGTTACTCCCATTTGAGCGATGTCGAATGGGATGCGGTTGAACGAATGGGTTCGACCATGGGCATCCATGCTGTTAGCGTCATGCTAGAGGCTCTCAATAGAGATGCCCAACATGCTACTATCGCCAAGTTCATTCAAAATGAACTTGACGCAGAACGCGAGAAAGTAGCCTTGCTTCACCAACAAGGTTCTCAACAAGCAGAGTTGTTGAGAGAACAAGGTGCTCAACAGTTTGAACTGTTGAGACAGCAGCAGGCTGCTGCTGGCGGGTCGATGCACTCGCGTCGGCCCGGAGACTTTGAAGATTGACATCTCAAAGTATAGGGGGTCGAAGAAGACTCCCTCTTGAGATGGTTCGTCGAATTGGACGACGCTATAAGGGCGCGTCGCATCGACGACGGGGATATGCAAGTTGCATTTGCCCAGTCAAATCTGGCAGGACGTGCCAAGACTTGGGCACTGGGGCTCAAGCTGCACGACCCATATGCGTTTGGGTCGTTGGAAGTCTTCAAGTCGCGGCTCAGACAAACGTTTGAACCGCCTAGAGCTGAGTTCAGAGCTCGAACCGAACTCTTGAAGCTCAAGCAGGGTAAGCGTGATGTGCACGCTTACGCTCAACATATACGACATCTCACGAGTTGTATAAGTTCCAATCCGGTGGATGAACACACGTTGGTTTCGGTGTTCATGCAGGGTCTTGCGGATGGTCCCGTCAAGACTCACCTGTTCCGGCTTGAACTAGATTCACTAGAACAAGCCATTTCAATTGCGGAGCAGGAAGACTTCAGTCTGAGACAGGCTCGCGCCAGCTCGACATCATATCGTCAACCGAGACGATATGACAACGGAAGGTCCAGAGCCGATGGAACTCTGTTATGTAGAGAGCGAGAAGGCTCGCTCTACAGGCTACAAGAAGTTGCAGAGATGCAACAGATGTCAAAAGACAGGACACTACGCTTACGAGTGTAGTGCCCCTCGTCCAGTGTCTCGCGACACTGGGCGTAGTGACCGTCCACCCATGAGAAAGGGGCAGGGACGAGGGTCCGCAGTTGGTGCAAAGACGCAACAACGGGATGGACCGTCAAAAAACGGACAGGATCAGTAGGTGCGGAGCACCCTACTGATCCAGCAACGTCAAGAGAATTTGTAGGCCTCTTGATGAAGGTTGCTCCCAACACACAGACATTGTGCGTTGCTGCTCTAGGTAATGAGATCTCACTCATTACCTTGAAACTCGAAGTGACGAATAAGTTGTCCCTTCGAGCTCTAGTCGATTGTGGGGCGTCCAACAATTTTGTGCGACGCCAATCGCTAGAAGATGGTCACTTTAAATTCAGTGAATGTGACACACCTCCTACGAGGATGACGGTACGTCTTGCGACAGGCGCATCCGTAACCGTCATGAAGCGTATAGTGAAGATTCACTATACGCTAGAAGATACCCAATACGACGATGACTTTATCGTATTGGATTTGGATGACAAATTTGATGTCATCCTTGGAATACCGTGGCTCAGAAGGTACGAACCACGGGTAAACTGGCAACATCGGACAGTAACGATGCCTGCCGCTTGTTCATCAGATGGCCATCTGATGAACGTTTTGGAGCGTCCACAAGCGTGTGGATGTACTACGAGTGAGTGCGATGGCCTCACTTGTGGTACGGTCGTTAGTACGACTGCACAAAACCTTAGTGTACCAAACGGTTACACTTCGGAGCAAAGTTCCGGCGGCTGTGAGGAAACACAGGCTGCGCCGAAGGTCCACCACTCGAATAAGTCGGGTGGACTGGGACAAAGATGTATCCCTAGAGGGGGAACATCTAGAAGAGAAACAATCGATCGCTCAGGTTAAGCGAAACGATAATCCTAGATCGACTGGAGAGTCTTTCGTAGAGGATCTCGCTGTGGTTGCGCAACCCCAGCTAGAGGAAGTAAAGGGAATAAGTCCCAAGATTACAAATACGGCGGAAATAAGTTCCCCGAAACCCGCGGGAATAAGTCCCCGGGAAGACGAAGGAATAAGTCCTTCGAAGCCTGAGGGAATAAGTCCCCAGGAAATGACAGAGACATTGAATGTCATAGTCAATAACGGATCATGTGTAGGCGCTTATACACTTGATCTGATTGCGCCTCCGAAGTTAACTTCGGAGATCACTCAGTTGCCAACGCTCGAACATAAAAGATTCTTGCGTGATCTGCGTAGTGGCAAAGTCAAGCAGATCTGCATACTCGTCGCTGACGACGAGTATGTAACCGACATAAGGTCAGCAACAGTGTTTACTGAGAACGAGAGAGTTCTCAGTAGTTCATCTATGGACGAGAGTGTCCTAGATGAAAGACACGAATTGAGCGATATGAGTCCCAATCATGGGAATCGCTCAAGGAAAATCCTCTCTATGAAGATTTGGTTGAATTCAAGGATGTATTCCCTGAAACTGTTCCGTGCGAATTACCGAAGGATAAAGGTATTCGACACGAAGTCGAGCTTAAACCAGGCTCGAAGTACTGTGTCATGAAGCAGTGGCCACTGCCTCGTGAACAGAAGTACTTGCGATCGACAAGTTCTTTGCCGATCGTTTAGCAGCGGGCCATGTGAGGGAATCAACTTCCCCACATAGCTCTCCGACCTTCTGTGTGCGAAAAGCAACAGGAGGGGTGGCGGATAGTGCACGCGTTTAACAAATTGAACGCTGCAACGGTACCGGCTCAGACGCCGATACCGAGGAAGGACGTAATCATTGATGGTATGTCAAAGAGTACCATCTTTTCGTCCATGGATTTGATGGATGGCTTCTATCAAATCCTAATGCGGGAACAGGATATACCCTATACCGCAGTTAGCACGCCCTAGCGGCATGCTCTGGGAATGGCTAGTAATGCCACAAGGGCTCAGTAATGCCCCTGCCACGTTCAACAGGTGTGTATCACATCTGTTGAGGCCAGTACGAGAATTCGCGCCGAGTTATTTCGATGACGTATTCATCCATAGTCGAGCTATGGATGGAAAGTCGGACGTTGAGGTTCACAAGTACCACGTCCGACAAGTTCTTACAATCATGCGAAAGCATCAATTGTATGCAAACCTCAAGAAGTGTATATTTGCAGCAAGCGAAATACCACTTCTTGGGTGCATCGTTGGTAAGAACGGTGTACGTCCTGATCCCGAAAAGATCAAGGCGATCACCGACTGGCCCGTGCCGGTCGATGTCAAAGGTCTTCGAAAATTCCTTGGGCTAGCGGCGTATTTGCATAAGTATTCACGCAATTACGCCGAGATGACTGTACACCTCTCTCGTTTGTTGAAAAAGAACGAGAGGTGGTTATGGAACGCTGAATGTCAACGCTCCTTTGAGGGTATCAAGCAGAGCTTGATACAATCCCCAGTCCTAGCAATAGCCGATCAGGACAGGCCATTTCATGTGGTCTGTGATGCCAGCGATTTCGCAATCGGCTGTGCATTAATGCAGTACGACCTTGAAGGCGTTGAACGCGTCGTCTGCTATCAGTCGCGTCAGCTGCAACCAGCTGAGCGGAACTATCCAGTGCATGACAAGGAACTCCTTGCCATGAAGTATGCACTCGCGAAGTTCAGAGTCTATCTATTAGGAGATAGACCCTTCGTTGTTTACACTGACCATGCGTCCTTACGCACGGCAGTGAACAGCCCGCACCTTTCACAACGAATGGCGCGGTGGTTGTCATTCTTTGCAGAATACAACTTTACGGTCGAGTACAAACCAGGACGACTTAATGTCGTCGCTGATGCACTCTCACGTCGTCCCGACTTTGAAACAGTCGCGAAACCCAACAGTGAGACAGTCACTGTTGCGGTTATGACGTCCTCAGTTCCATCTACAACGTTGTATGATGATGTGAGGCGGGCATACGCCCAAGATGGTGAGATAGTGAAGTTGTTGTCACATCTCTCCCAACCATCTCCGAGAATCGTTGAAACGATTGTCGTCTGCGTATCGATCTGCATCAGATCGATACACTACTCGTAACGGTTTACTGTATTATACAGCCGTTTCTGGTGACACACCACGTGTTGTCATTCCAGATGATACTGATCTGCGTTTGCGGATCATGTTCGAGTATCACGATGCTCCTATAGGAGGACATCGTGGCCGAGAGAAAACATATCTCACGGTAAGTCGAGACTTTTACTGGCCCCGCCAGTATCAGTTTGTGCGAAAGTATGTTCGCGCATGCGAAGTCTGCCAACGAGTGAAGTCAAGTCCTTCACTGCGTGCACCTTTACAGCCTCTACCGGTTCCGGCTGAGTGCTGGGAATCCATCTCAATGGATTTCGTCTTCGGGTTACCCAAAGACGCACGCGGGAATACGGGTATTCTCGTATTTGTTGACAGATTCAGCAAAATGGTACACCTTGTGGCTGTACCAGAGACAATCACGGCAAGTGGCTGTGCTTGCGTCTTTATTGACACCATCTTCCGACTTCATGGGTTGCCCCGTGAACTCGTATCAGACAGAGATCCACGATTCACTGCTGATTTCTGGCGTTCCGTGTTCAAATCACTCGGAACGCGCTTGAAGATGTCAACATCTGATCATCCAGAGTCAGATGGTCAGACGGAACGTGCCAACCGTGTCCTCGAAGAGATACTTCGAGGATACGTACACTCCTTTAAGAGTTGGAGTGAGTTTTTGCCGATGGTAGAGTTTGCCATCAACAACTCGGTGCATGCGTCCACGACACATACACCGTTTTACGTGAATGGCTTGCGCCATCCGCGTGTACCCACCTTACTAGAGTGTAACTCTGGTTTAAGGGGGGGAGGGACTCGCGCGAGCAAAAACCGATTTGGTTCACGCTCATCACGCTCTGACGAAGAAGTCATTGCGTTTGATGCCGATATCGATAACATCGATATCGAAGAAGATGATGCCAGTGAGAGTGCGGAAGCCCTCACTGAAGACAATGATCCCAGTGAGAGTGCGGAAGCCCTCACTGAAGAAAAGGTTGTTGTCGCTGCAGTGCGCTCACAGCACACTGAAGCTAACGAGTCATCAGATGAGTTCATACTGGCTCGTGAAACGGTAGTCCGTTTTGTGCAAGACTCCATCGCCGAAGCGGTGGATAAGCAAAAAGCAAAACGCTGACAAGAATGGAAGGGCAAACACTCTTTTATTTAATAAAGGTGACTTAGTCCTACTGTCTACGGTTAATCTACCAAAACATGTAGTGACTAACTTGGGTAGCAGTAAACTACTACCCAAGTACATTGGCCCATTTCGTGTATTGCACCGCCTAGGCAATGCATACACGATCGAGTTACCACGTAA